AATTATCAAAAATTATTTTGAAACATTCTGGAAATTCCTGATGAACCGACTTCTTCACAGGTATTGTTCCTTCTCAACTTTTTCTTCGATCTGATACAGATTAACAAACAGATAAATGAATTTTAGAGCTTGAAAACTAGTGCGTTATCTTTATGAAACAAAGAAGCAAGTGAGAGTGAGACCAGAAAAACATGAAGAAGTACGCAAGTTTCTTTATTTACTTTAATGCAAATAAATAGTATGGAACTAAGCGTTTTTTGCTTAAACTATAATTTTTTAGAAAAACTAATTAATGAATGATAAAGCACTATAAAAATGTGATCTTTTATCAAGAATATACTTTTAAGAGTTTTTTTTTTTCTTTTGAGTTCTAAAGTCTGTTTTTTATTTAAATGGAAACCGCCAAGTCAAAATTTTGGTAAAAAAATTGGTAGCAGCTTATCTCCATACCCACAAATTTTCTTTGCTTTTTATTTTTGATCCTAGAAATTTTGTTAAATATAGTAAAATTCAGGAAGGTAGACCGGTGCGTCATCTGACGTTTCTCCTAACCACGTTTACATCGCGATGACAAAACGTCAATTTTTTGACGTTAGGTTCAATATCTGCGAGTTAGAAGTTGTTTACTGATGAAGGTGTTGGTTTGTACGCTTCTTTGCAAAGGTATTTAAAATTCAATGTAATAGATTCGAAATGACGTTGTACATGCAGGGTATTCATTACATCATTATGTTTTTCAATGCTTTTGGATGTTATATCTAAAACTCGGAATTTTTAGTGTACATTAGTATAAAACCGATTTTCTAAAAAAACAGTGGGTAAGTTGAGAAGAAAACGGACGCAAAATCTGTATTTCATAAATAGGAATCATCGTAAACATAAGGAGCATGGACAAGTAATTTCTTACATTGAGTTTTTTAAGGGTTTAAAACCATAGACGATCTTATGCATTCTTCCAGATAAGAAAAAAGAAAAAGTTGAAATTCAAGACGTCTGCAAGATAAAGTTGCATCTTACATCCTTCAAAAACAAACAATAAACGCGTTAAGAAGCTTTAATTCTGATCTTATGAAAACCAGAAAGTTACTTATGTGAGGGTCAAAATAAAGCGTCGATTTCAGTTTGTATTGTTAATTACTTCATTAAATAATAGACTTCTTAAACAACGCTCATATTTACCTCAAATATCTCAAATAATCCCAATTTTATTTAAAGAAAACTGGTTTGCGCCATAGCAGACACAATATGTAAAGTACTAAAACAGCATTTAAATGGTTTTTTATAAGATTGGCCTCATTTTTTATAGAATAAATAAATGATGATGGGGGGCCAATTTTTATCGGTGATCCCTCATTATTTCAATTTTTTACACTAACACAAGTGCCTTTATGCCTAATTTCATGGAAGTTACTTCATCGTAAGGAATTATTAAAAGAAAGCAACGAGACGTAGAACAGAAGCAAGAAATCAACCAATAAACGAAAAATACTTGCAAATTATACCAAAAAGACTTTCAACGACGACAATAATGTTACTGTCAATCTCAAATTGACAAATTCACTCGAACATGACATTTAAGTGGTGCAGTTGAAGTGCATATGTAAATTAATGTTCAAGGCTACCATCCTTAGAGAGCCTTTAATTATTTCAACTTACATTGTGATAGAATTTTTTATTTCACTTTTAAGTTGGTAATGAAAAAATGAAATTGATGACGCACCGGTCTACCCTCCTGAATTTTACTATAATTATGGTTACGTTTTCATGTTGAGATTTTGTCAAAATATTGACTTTTATAAATCTCTTTGTGATAGTACACGTTACAATGTTGTAGGCAAAAATGAGCGTCTTGCTACAAAAACTTTAATAAAAAAGGGTGTCTACTGTCTATACAGATAAAAGTTATTTTTCAAACGATACAAGCAGGTATTATGAAGATAGACAATAAATTTTGTGTAATTTATGAAAATGAGCACTAAGTTGAAGCATTTTCTAATTTTTTTTCTCGCTTTAGTTTCAAAATTGTTACTTTTCCAACTGGTTTCTTAAAAACGGTGAAACCAGACACTAAATTTACTGCGTTCTTCCTTATTTATGTTTATTTTGTATTTTTGTCAATTTCTTGCTAAAAATTAGAGAATGGTACGTATAACAAACCTGCATTACAAACTGCGTTTAAATTTTCACGGTGATCTTTTCCTGACTTCTGCTTGCACATTTTTCGTCTCAGAATTTCTAAAGACTGTTGGCGGTACCGACTTTATCCTCGTTTTTGTGTTTCCGTCTCTAAATTTTCTTAGACGATTTTTTTGTTGATGTTTAATGACATTGTTTAAATTAAATCAAAAACCGGAACTGCCAACTTCTTTTATAAAAATTACTGGTGGTGCCAACGTTAAGACTGTTTGACATTACCATTTAAAGAAAAAACAGACTTTACAAAATTTTTTGTTTTGTTTTCTTAAATGGCAACCCACTACAATAAAACCATTTTTCTCAAGAAGGTTATGATCTAAGGATTACAACTTTTGAGACTACTTTTGAGAGACTTTTAGCGACTACTACTTTTAAAACTTTTGGGGTTAGTTAGTTTTTGCCGTCAACTTAATGAACAATTTTGGCGTGATTTCACAGGGAGGAAATTGTTCATCGTATTTGCCGCCAAGGACCGTATTTGTAGAGGCGTACATTGCAAAACGTCTTCCATACCTTAGGAATTCATTTTTACGAATAAAATAATGACGTTTTAAATTAATTTATTTTATGTCCACCTAGCCTCCCCGCAGTGTTGTCAACTGACGCAAAATTTCCTACATTGCGATTTTTTGTTTGTTTAAAAAACTGCAAAGTAGAAAAAATACTGTATGATATCTCGGTTATAAGGCATTTTGTCGCTTACTGCTTTATGAGTTTATGACACTCCTCGCTGCGCTCGTCGGGTTCTAAATCCGTCGTGAGACAAAATACTTCTTATAAAACTCGTATCATAATATACTATTACAATTTGCTACGAGATCTCTATTTTGCAGACTCCATTTTATAAGATGTTAATCAGTTATAAGCTTATGGGCTCTGTTTATGTTTTTCTTAGGAAAAGAGAATAGCATATACTGTATTTGAATTTTAAGCGGGACGATATTGGAATTTGAATGACCTATCCGACGCCTTTGCTGTAGTTGATCGATACGTGGAAGGGAAAACGAGAAAACCTTAGATTATAGGAGAAAACGCTCAAACATGGAAACATGGCGTAGTAGCATAACAAAGGTAATTTTATTTAAATAATTGTAAAAACTTGTTTTTTATCTGGAATTTTAAGATTTTTAGGTACTTAAATACTGACCGGGCAAAAGGAATATTTGCTCAACTGTTACAGAATTTATCGATATGGTTAACTTAACCCTAAAAAGTTAATTGAAACATCATTTTTACAATATTACACGAAATAGGCATAATTGGTAATAAGGAGTTCAGGGAATCATCATCCTAAACTTATAATAAAACTGATAAATAACTTGTGCTATTTTTAGTACATACTACAATTCGTGTTTTTGTTGTTGGAAGTTTGGTCTCGATTATTGTGAAGTTACGAGTTAATTACACAATTAATTTCAGAAATATCTTTTGTTCATTGGGAATATTTAAAGACGATAATGTGTATTTTATGTAACAATTGTTAATACGGATTTGAGCTTTAAAACTTCCGTTACTTCCAAAATATTTTGGCAATTAGTATTGTTCTTGTCTTAGACAAGTAATTGCACTGTTTTTTTTTGATATCTACCTTATTAAAATATAAAGTTGAGGTTTTTACGTACAGTTGGAGACAAAATACATCAATGTCACTTGAGTGACATTAAATTGTAAAGAATGCTTTAGGACTGTTAACCTTATTTTTAGCTACTGTCAATCATAGTTGACAAGTTGTACATGTTTTTGATAGGAAAATACAACAGCTGTCATTAATTTGAAATTGTCATTCATTTTAACGTTAAAGCTTGAATTACATTAAAGTGTCAGAAAAGTGACGACCAAAGTATTTTGTCTCCAACTGTACAGTTGCGGCCGTTGAAAATTAAACTTTGACAAATCCAATACAAATTAGTGTCGTAGACCAGAAAATTTTACTTCAAAACAATAAACTTGAATTTTGTAGACAGAAATAATCAATATTTTATTACAGCATCATCCGAATCCGAAAAACTGAAACTCACATTGCCATCTTTGATGAAAACCTAATTTACACTTTACGAATTTTTAAAATAGCTAATAATATGCCAAAACTCAGCCAAAAGTGACTGTCTTAGTTGTCAAGGGCCGCACCAGTACTATACTTTGAAGTGCAAGTACAAAGTAAAATACGAGCAAACGACCATTACTTCAAAAATAATGTATTACATATGTTAAACTCATATTATTTATTATTTTTATTTATAACAGAAAAGTTACAAGTATATTTTAGGTAATGCTGAAAAAACTACTTTTAGCTCATTTAAATTTTCGCTCATCTGTCAATGTTTTTTTAATAACACAGTTGCGGACACGGAATTTGTGACATCAAAATGTCAGTTCAAAAAACGTCATTGTAAGCCAAGCTTTATTGTCATTATGATTGACGTGTGAAACTAAAATTTGAAAGTTTTAGTTGAAAATTATTTTTGGCGTCCGTATTCCAAAACGATAATGCCAACAATACGTGTTTTAATATAAGTTCATTAAATTCTTTTCATTTGCTGTCATTTCTCTAGTTACGATAAAAAACACAATAACCGAAAGTGAGGTTAGTTGGATAAGACCCATTTTATATTTTTATCAGTCAAATGACATATCGTCCAAAATTCCGTGTACGCAATTATGTAAATACAAAATCAAATATATTAAAAAGAAGTGTTAATTTAATAAAAAAATACATTGTTGGTGCTTTAATTCCTTTTTATTTTTTTACGACCATCTGCCACTTCGTGTATTTTATTTTTCGAACGCACGAGATGTAGGCAACAAAGAATAACGCAGTCATCTGTCAATGTCAAGGACGAAAACAAAAATCAAAACAATCAGTTCATTTCCCATTTTTTTGGATAACTTTAAAATACAAAGCTTTAAAAATGAGTCGAAGAAAAAAGATTAAGGTACTGTGTTAAATACCAGACAGGAGTGTCATTGTTGCATTGGTTTATTGTTTAAAAAATGGTAAATTATCAAAAGTGAGGTTATGTTATCAATTATTTTAGGTGGAAAGCAAAGAAATGGATGATAAAATTAATAATGCCGATGATGAAAATGTAACGGAAGCAGCGGATAAACAAAAAACCGTTCCCTCTGAGAAAAAATTAAACTCCGGTCCTAGTTCTTCTAAAAGTAACAAAAAGGAATCAAAGAAGGAAGAATTGAAGAAGGAGGAGGATAAGAAAAAGGATGTTGATCCTGAATCGGAGCTAGATGATCCAGTTATCAAAGATTTATTTTCTGGATTGGAAGGGGCTGCGTTTCAAAGTCGCATGCCATTTGATAAATTGACCTCAACAGAAGCTGCTTGTTTCCCAGATATAGCTCAGGCCGCTTTACAGACTATTAAAGTATATCTAAATGTTCGCAATCGTATTTTACAAATGTGGCTTGATAATCCTAAGCAGCAGCTAATCTTTGAAGACGTTATGGAAAAAATGGAAGTACCTTATAATAGTGACGCACCTCTAGTGAAGAGGGCTCATGCGTTTTTGGAACGTAATGGATACATCAATTTTGGCGTTTTTAAAAGGCTTAAACCTTTACCCTCTAAAAAATATGGGAAAGTGATAGTAATTGGAGCAGGAATAGCTGGATTGGCGGCCGCTCAACAGTTACAACAGTTTGGTTTGGAAGTAATAGTCCTAGAAGCACGAGATAGAGTAGGTGGTAGAATTGCCACATTTAGAAAAGGTATAAATTTGTTTTAAAAAGCAATACTTTAATGAATTATAAATTTTTAGGTAATTATATTGCTGATTTGGGGGCTATGGTTGTGACAGGCCTAGGAGGTAATCCTGTGACCACTCTCAGCAAACAAATAGACATGGAATTACACCGCATTAGACAGAAATGTCCTCTATATCAATCAAGTGGTGTTACTGTTGATAAAGACAAAGATGAAATGGTTGAACGTGAATTTAACAGACTTTTAGAAGCCACATCTTATTTATCACATCAACTAGATTTTAATTATGCTGGAAATAAACCAGTTAGCTTAGGTCAAGCTTTAGAATGGGTTATAAAGCTTCAAGAAAAGCACGTGAAAGAAAAACAAATCCAGCATCTAAAATCCGTTATAACATTACAAGAAAAGCTAAAAACAAATCAAAAATTGTTAGTTGGAATTAAGGAACAGATGTTTGAGACAAATGCAAAAATTAAAGAACTGGCTAGTGTAGAAAAGAGGGATATTCAGTTGGAATTTGCATACAGAAGTGCCGTGCGTGATCTTAACGCATACTCAAAGGAATGGGATCAACTACAAGAACAAGCAAAGGAAATTGGAGATAAACTTAGAGAGCTAGAAGCATCACCACCAAGGTAATAAATATATTTGCTCATCCTGACTTTATTTCAATTATGTAACGTTATCTAGTGACGTGTATTTGTCATCTAAGGATCGTCAGATTTTGGATTGGCATTTTGCGAATTTAGAATTTGCCAATGCGACTCCACTTTCAAATTTATCACTAAAACATTGGGACCAGGACGACGATTTTGAATTTACAGGGAATCATTTAACAGGTGAGTGGATGCAACTATAAAAACTTTGGCTTGTAGGTGGTTGCATATATAGTTTTATGTTCCGCAACTAAAATAAGGATTCCGTTTAAAATTAATAGTAAGAAATACGAAAAAAAATCTCGAGATCTCACCTGACTGAATTAATCTACGAGATTTTATTATGTATATATATATATATATATATATATATATATTTATTCTATAATTTTCAGTGTTTAAAAGGCAGTGATTTTCTTGTAAACAAATTTTGTTCTCGATGCGTTTACTCTTTGTTTTACCGCGTTTGTGTAAGGTCAAGAGCAATTTGAAAAGAATGTTACTGATGTGGTGTAATATTTACTCGTCTACAGTTTAAATATTTGTATTTTTCTTCTTGTATGCGCTGTGTTTACTTTTCTATTCTTCAGAGTGTGGAGCAGGTAGGTATGCTGTCCGTATGTAATTCTAATCTTTTTGTCTCTTAAAAAAGAATGGTGTCACTTTTTAATAATTGTAAACTAAATAGTTAGACTTATTAATATTATTTAAACACCAAACACGTCATGGACCTAATGGTCTCAAAATGAAACACAAAAGTATTATCAAAAAACGATTTGTTTATTTTTATTGTTTTATGAAATGGCTAAAACTAAACCTAGAGCGCCTTACTTTTCTTAAATAATTTTAGTTTTGTCACTTTGTTGAATGCTTTGCAAAATGCTTTGTAATTGGGTATTATAACATTGGTTCTAAAAATTTTCTTGAAAGTACTAAGAAAAAGAAAATGATTTTTTTCAAATGGGATGTTGTATTGTTTTTGATGGAGGAATTTACATTAAAGTGCTTTTATGTCCAATTTTTTTACTGTCTTTGAATGTGCGAAACGTTCCAGTGGCGTTTCCTTTTATACGAGTTAATTTTTCGCATTTATAACAATTCTGTTGCACGTCCTCGGCTAACCAGGCCATTATTGTTTATTTATTGCCATAATAACACGTTTTTCTTCTCGTAATAACGTCGATTCACACCTTGCGGCAAAACGTACGTGATTGACAGGCATTAAAGCCAACGGCTTTTGCAGGTCAGTGAGCGGCTTGGTTAAGTCGAACAGTTGCCAACATCATCATTCATAACAGTTTTTTGGATAAAGTATTGTTGAAAGAATGTTTTTTCGCGTGTTGTTGTATTTCTTTTATAAAAACGGTCGATGTTTAAAGTCCTCGTGCATGAGTGCTTCATTTGCCTGACCCGTCCGACAGGGGCCTTCAGATCGGCCAGATAAGTCGCCGATAAGGCGGTCATCTCACGATTTCTGGATTCGTTTTATTTTCACTTCGACCTTTAAGCTTTTTTGGTCAATCTCAGCGCGCTGGCGATGCTTCAACCGATTAAATACTTGTTTGCGTACGGCGTTATTAAGCTCCGTGCTTTCTTGCTGTTTCGTTTAAATTCCAGACTGCGTTAAGCAGATTGTGGCGATGACGGCGAGGGGGCTGTCGCAAAAAACGGTAATCCAAATTATTCTTTTAGGTAGAACTCTGACAATGTGAGAATAAGATTTGTTTTTCTGTAGTTTCTGGGCTTATTTATTAATGTGCTGCAAGCTTGTTGGGCGCCGCTAATTTTTCATAAGAAAGGTGCAATATTTTAATAGTAGCTTACGTAATGAAAAGTTGTTGAATTGAAGATATTAATTACAAAGGTAAACTTGTTTTGATCGGGCTGCAGCTTTAGCGCCAAGACACCCGCAGTGCACGGACTAATTAATATCTCCGCCAATTAATATTAGTTTTTATGCACTTACGATTGATTTGTAGCCATTGTAGTTTGATTATGAGTCCCAGACGCGACGGGGGTTCATCGCCCCCAATTTGCGCTTGGTGGAATGCTTTTTTAATACGTTTCCTCTGAAAATCGATTAATAGGTGTTGTGTTTATGGCAGCGGCGAAATTTTTAATCGTCGTTTTGTCTCCGACAACAATAGGATTGCAATTATTTCGAGCAAGGCGCGAACCAAATTCGAAAATAATTCGCAGGGTCACCTGTTCAACCAAACAGAATCGGTGATCTTTCGTACGGCGAAAAAATCTCGTCAAAACGAGATTTCACACAGCACGCAAATGACAGATTAGTTAGTTTCAAAGAATGCACGAAATTGAACAATAAAACCGAAAAAATTCAGCTGCCCACTGAACGATTCGTCCTATTATTTGTCGTTCTCATTAGCTGGAAAGCGGACTTAAAAAAATCTTGTCATTATACGATAATACGAGATCAGAGCACTATTTTTTACTCTAGATCTTCATGAGTTTTTTGCTCAAATCATTGTCCAAATAATATTTATTAAGCCAGCAGATGCGACTAGATTACTTAGATGGTAGTTCGATAATCTCTAAGTTGATGTTTAATTTTGGCAATTTTTTGGTCATTTTAACCGGCTGTCGTCTAATTCTCGTAGAAAACGTCAATTTAAAAAGTCAATTGTCGCGCTCCACTGGTGTCGGTGGCATTCTACGAATCAGGCCGCATCTAATTGATAAAATACAATATACCGATGAGAATCGATTGGTTACGGATGTTAGTGCTCGTGTGGAGCTAACATTGTCTTCGGAAATCCACAAAGAGCTTCTCGGACGCGACCTTGCTGTACTCGATGTGGATGGATGAAATTGAGTTATACATATTTTTTGTTTATGTAACGTGTGCGACCTTTAGTCTCATCTTGCAAGTTTTCTGAAGTTATTCCTTATGACACTAGAGTCCAATTTTGTGTAAAAGACATTTTTTCAATTATTTGGAATGTAAATTATGTTTTAGAGTTCAAAAATTACCCGTTGTGTCGTGTCTAAAATCATTAAAAAAGCATAAAATTTCAAACTTTACTTATTACTCAGAAATCATGTTATAAATATCTACTTGTTTAATTTTTTTGTTTATTTGATTGTTAATTGTTGCGTCAGTAATCAGTTGGTTTGGAATTTTATTTGTAGGTCAGCTTTTACAGTCAAATTGCCTGGAAATGTTGATCGAATATGACAATTGTAGATCGTGGATCGTATTTAGAGAGTCCGGTAACTGATGAGACTAAAGATAAACAAACGATAAGTTGCCGCTGAACCGGTTCAGAAGTGACGGTCGAGAAGGCGACATCATTAATTAATTTATAAACCTAATAATGATTTCAAAGGGATCAGAGGAATTCAAAATCATTTCATTAAATTTACAAAGCAAACAAAAAATTGATGAATTTCCAACTGAACGATCATTCTTTCTCGATGAAATTTTAAATTTTGTTGTGTTTACGAAGTGATAACAGCCTCTGGTCCTTAAATTCGAAAATGTTCGTTTGGCGGTAGCTCGACAAAACAACATAAACGATTCTTTATGTGACATGTGGACGGGTTAAAGCGGCTTACGTCGGGCTTAAAGTCTTCATACCTCAGAAAGATCAGAAATGATCGTGAAATCACACCCATTTAATTCCATTTGTCGTATCCGTTTTCGTTATAGTGGGTCTAAATGTGGGGGCAAAGCTTAACGTTGCCCTCGGTTTGAGATACCGAACACCGGATCTTTATAATTTGCAAGAGATCGCAATCCATGATTTGGATAGTAGTAACTGAAGAAGGGGGTTGGTCAAAGGCGGCCGCTCTTTGCGAATTTGACACCTCTTCCGTTGTTGCGGCCAAATGTGTTCCTTGGATTCTTCTAGATAATTTTTGATCGGAAATGTTTTATTTATACAAAAAGAAATAATAAAGTGACTATTTGTTATAAAGAAAAGGAAAATTGTGTCGCTAATATTATCAAGATGATCGCCTTCTTTTAAATTTTTTTTTATTCTTGTAAGTGCATACATTTTTAAACAAAATTACGGTTTGCAGAGCAATCTCCGTTCTACATTTGAAAATAATGTAACACAGTTTATACTATTTTTTTAATTTAAGATATTGCGTTTTACCGAACCATGAAATTGCATTTTCGTGCTACGTATAGAATGTACATACAGTAATATGAAGTTGGCTCAGTTTTTGCTGTTAGCTTGGTAAACTAATAAGATTCAAATTAGAAACAAAACATTTAGTTTCATTAAATTTTTTTTTATTAATAAATAAACTATTTTTTTGTATTGTTATATACTTATGTTACGAACTTAGTTAAAGGATACACATAGTGGCTGGAATTAATTCTAAAATCTGTTTAGGAAGATAAGAAATTCTTTTCTTATGTGAATTTTTAAAAAGTTGCGTTGGTGTAAAATGTAAATTAGATTAGAGGTTTACATTCTACTTCCATATTTTTCTTCAGATTTAATCCAATATGTAAATTAGTAAAGTTTAGATAGTTGATCTATAATTTAAAAACAGCACTCTTGAATATCTGAACAAAGTGATGTATCAAATAAAATATGAAATTTTTATTTAAATCTGTTAGGTGCAGCAGATTGTCTTTTTGTCATTGTTTGTAAAAAAGTTGTTAACCATATCGAGCAACTACTAACTACCCGTTCGTAAGTAAACTTCGAAACAAGTGGGAATCAAAATTACATCATTTAAATAAATATTTACTGTCAACGGCGAGTGCATATATCATTTTGTACATAACATTTTAGCTGCCATGAGAGCAGTCCAGTTAGGGACTATTCCGTTTTCTTCTTGTTGAAATCACCGAAACTATGGCTGGTTAACCACGTTACATGGCGGTGGAGGTGAAATTAGAACACGGTAACACTTGTACGGAGAAGTTTTAATTGCTTTTCCCCCGCTGCGGTATTTATCATGGAAACGCAATAGGAACTGGTAATAAATATTAACTAGGTTTGTCTGCCTGTATTACATAATGCATTAGTTGAGAAGAGGATACGTATATGTTCCTGCAGGTGATTTGTAGGTGTGAAGATAAACTTTGGCGTTGAAAATCACACAGAGGTCGTAAATTTTGTGACAAATTACCTGTAATAACTCATCACATTATTATTACCTATCTATTATGTACAATTTCAACAGAAAAGCTAAGGTAAAATTTTCAAATAATCAGTTGTTTGATTAAGTTGCAAATACAAACGATCGAATTATTTTTTTCTTTGAAAACATGCTCAACAACTTCATGAAGGAAATAAGATACCAGTTTATTAGCATTCAGGATGGAGTTTTTAATAGTTCAGAGTGTTTTTTCTATATTTCAATATCAGTTGAAATTCCAGCTGCTGTCATATTTTTACCATAAAGGTAAAGGTATTTTTTTTTGAATTTTTTGAATTCTGAAAACAGTGTGGTATACCTTTGTATCCGTACAACCTATACACAATAAATAACTAACATTGTCCCACGTAATCCCACGCTTTTGCGACTCATTATCTCAAAAACACAGCATTTGGTCATTCTGATTGCCAGTTGCGATTTGCAGAGTTCATTCTGTGGTAACAATTGCAACTAAAAATATTTGATATTCAAATATTTTTCTTATATATCGCAAATTTATGCAGAATTTTCTCGACAAACGTGTGTATTGTTTTTAGAATCGGTGCAAATGCGAAACAAAGTGGGATGATTTATGTGTCTTTGTTCTAGCAAACGGCCATTTGTGCAATATCGGGAGCAGTGTATACTACTTTCGTTGAACGACAATTGAAACTAAAAAATAACTTATTGTTTCAACTATACTAATTAAGTGGAGATCCAAAACGGAAATAGTAAAGCGACGTCTTTCGACCGTCTCCATCTGGAAAGATGATATTGATAAGAGGTTTCATTAGGACGTATCTCATGTAATTATTATAACTTCGTGTCAAAAAATCATCAAGTTTTGATGACATAATTATAAGACCGTTACAGTGTCAGTTTGAATTCTATTTTTTCTTTTTTGGGAAACTCGATGGTTCCGAAGAAAATCATATTAAATGTTTTTTTTTTACTTAAACACAAATTGTCCATGACTAAATTAGAATGTTGATGTGAACTAGGTAATAATTTTAATGATACTTTAATAAAAGTTTAATGATGACTTGACTATGGTAATAATCGTGCTTCACCAGAATTCTAGCAATTAGTTTACAACATCATAAAACTTGTCCAAAAGATGTGATCTGTGTTCGGTAAGAGCGTAATTTATTTGATGTTATAAATTCATAGCTGTGGTGTAAATTAAAAATCATGGTAGAAAAAGTTTACTTTATTTATTTTAGTTTTTCCTAGTTTTATATTTGAAATATTTATTGTATAAATAGTATTGTTTTCTCTGTTTTATCACGAATTATTGAACTCTGTGATTATACTGTCGATCCACGCCCTATAGAAAGGCACGTTTACGTATACTCCATAGACACTAGGTTGTCCGCAATTTTTCCCCCAAATGACCAATCCGGCAATGTTTCCTTTTCCAGTATTGGGACATACGAGTGGTGCTCCTCCATCGTACTAAATTTTACTATTAGGAAAACAAACTATTATTTGTATTACCGTGCATGCGTCTTTCATTGATTCGCCTCCGGCGCAAATTTCACCTCCTGTCATATCCAGATATGTATCAACTGTTGGCAAAACTGGCAATAATCCTGCCCTGCAAGTGGCAATATCAACTGGTGACAGATTGACTTGTTTCATAGGATTAGTAGGATGGTCTTGGGTACCGTAATTTGTTTCACCCCATCCAGCGACAACACATCTATTTAAAAAAAAATAATAAGAGAAGGTGTGGAATATGTTAATGAGTGTATACGTTTGACCGGTGTAGGATGCGCCAGCCCCGGGAAGACAAGCAGAATTGATATTGTTCTGACTTAGAGAAAATGGAGAAGACACTCTGACGATAGCAATGTCGTTAATAAGGTGTTCAGCGTCGTAGTTTGGATGGATTCTTATAGCGGAAGCTGTACTGCTCTGAACATTAGACGATGTTAAATCGCTGGGAGTGTGAACACCCATACTTATAATGACATTGGCCGGATTATTTCTGAAAAAGTGTAAAAATTTGAATTTTATGTGTGATTTAACTCACCGATCTCCATAGACTTTGTGTGCTGCCGTAAGAACATGGTAATTATCGATTAAAACACCACTGCCAGCATAAACTGGATGAGTGGAATTTCGTAAGAAAGCTTGCCATGGATGAGCACCTGGAGTCGCTTGTCCATCAGCAGTTGAAACTGGTGAAACGAGTCTTTCACCACATCTACTCGATGGTCCTTGAGTGTAACATGGAATTGTTCCACTAGGACAAAGTTCTCCCTAGCTAGAGATGATTAATTTGTAATTTGAAGCAATAATAAGGCACTTACGGGTGTAACAATGCGGGGATCTATTCCAGGACTGGTTGGGGTACCACCGTTGTTGCAGTATCCTGGGGGCACGCAAACGTAGGAGTCCCCTTCTGCTGTTGTTCCTCCTGTTTGAGCTTTGATTGCATCTTAAATATTGGCTTTGTTAGTACTGGTGTTAGATGGATGCTTATGTACTAACTGATGGTTAAACATATGTAAAAGATGATATATTGGTAGGATAACATTTTTCTGTTTGGGTGCAGAGATTGTATGTTACTGTTCGTCATTACTAAGATTTATAAGCGAATACTGTGAATTTCCCACCAGATAAAGGTTCTTGTATGACATTGAAATTTGTATCAAAGTAAATTACCGTACGGGAAGTTTGTAATAAAACTATTTTTGAACCTTGTTTCTGGTCGTTATAAAAATTAAATACCTAATTTGCCATTTTTCGATTGTACTTACCGGAAGTTCGTCCTATTTAAATTCGTTCAGTAGTGAAGGGCGTAGTTTCAAGGGTGGATGAGTCTTTAAAAAAACAATTATCTCTATATTAAACAGTTCAGTTAGTGTAACATATTTAACCATTTGTCGGCTTTTTACATTTTATGATTCATATTTCGTAGTCACTGTAAACTGTTAATCTCTCATTTTGCTTAATATAAAGGAACAACTTCTTAGATCTTTTGACAGGTGAGTTGAGTACATTAACATTTAAATAAGCGGTTTTTATCGCGATAATTCTTTTCACTTGGATATACCGAACTAGTCATTAACGCTTGCAGATTAATTACGGGAAAACTTGTCATACGATTTGATAAGCGCTCTAATAGATAATTACCACAACTGGTTGTTATTTGTTTTATTATAATTAACAAGCTACTATAATGGCTATGTGTAATAAGCCATCAGCCATCAATGAAGAACGCGGCTCAACAAGATAACGCATGAGAGCACTTAGTGTCTAAATTATGGCATTATCGTATTACAGATTCTCCGGTACAAATCAGATATGCACTTTTTTCTTATAGTTTATTTCTAAACTTTAAATTTTCACCTGACATTAATTTGAGTTCTCTTTTTTACAAATTTGAGAACTTCATGGTAAGCTGTTCTAAAAAAATGTAAAGTTCATCAGGGTTTGAGGTACGACTTTGTCGGTTAACAATGTATTTTTTCCGCAGTATAATCTGCTTCGTCAATATGACCGGGCAGCTACACGATTTGGGCGGCCCGTGGAAATATTTACAATCTTGCGATTGCTATAATCAGACTGGCTTGTTTATAAGAGAGAGAGAGAGTGATTAATGGTGAGGAATAGTTTCCTGATTTATTCGCCCGGTTAGCAGACGATTTGGTGCTATCTTTTTCTTATCAGTGATGTATATTTAAATAATTAATTAAAAGAAACCAAATTAATTGTGCGACTAAAAAGCTGTTTCCTATGATCTATGATTCTGTGGTGTTCGGTTTGTATTTATTTAAATTAAATCAACAGGTTTTGGTTCCACCTACCTAATTTTGCGAGACGATCGTTATTACCTCATCTCACAAGAGGCGTATATTTTCTTTTGTCAAACACAAATGCTATGTAAAGGTGATTTAGACAATTTGGTGTATCTTGTTAAATCGAGATACGAGAGTGAAAGTGGGAACATGGCATTTGGATTCATATTGTTTGCATGCTGAACATAACTTCTTTTGAAAGTGTTTACGAGTACATATATACCCAAATAGGTTCGCGACTTGCTATCTATAAATAGGCGCTGTTAATCTAAATTGAAGTCGAAGTTTCTCATTTACAGACTTGTATATCTCGTATTGTTACAATGAAAAACACCTGTTGAGTACGTTGGCTTAATAATATTTCTAGGGATTGTTATTAATATAGCTTTGTTTCGCATGCTGTTGCATAAATTTTTACTACTTGAAACAAATTTTATTACATAAGAAGTAGGGGCTCTGTTTAATTATAATTAGGTACTCTACGTACGTATAAGGATACTTATTAAGAACAATAACTAGGGAAAGTAGGCAATGTTCGTCAAATTTCTTTATCACGTTTTGTTTTTTTATTTTTGGTAATGTCTTGTCATTGATTCTCTTCAAATTTGAAAGAAGTGGTGATCAATTGCGAATCCTTCGTCGTGTTCATGTGAGTGAATATCATTCGATCTTCTTCGACTACAAGCCGTCCAGTTCGTGGATCGTAGATCTGTTTCGTTTGTTTCCAGATGAATAGTGAGATGAACGATTGGTTTTTATATCGGATGCACGGCTACAGTTTTGACATAACCAAGTTCGCTCGGAGCTGATTTCATCGCCGGAATTTTTTTCAAGTCGGCACATTATATCTTGTGTGTGTGTTTCTTCTCGCAAGAGCAGCGAACGCTATTATCCCCAAGTACTACACGGTTCTTCTGGGCTGTGATTATGGCGGTCAGATTGTCTGCTGACCCCGAAGAATGCAGGCCCACTTAACAACGCAAATCACTGCGTTCCGTCATAATTTACAAATGGTTCATATTTCAACATTGTATGAGGGAATTGTCTTCCACTAACAGGAGAATTCAATAATAAATTAATCATTTACACTTAGAAACTCGTTTTATTTACAGTCAAATTAAAAAAAAGTGGTCGTCAATGTGACATTTTGGCATACAATTAATTATTCTTGTATAAATAAACGTACTTAGATTTACAAAAATAAATTACTTGGCATTATGAAGTTTAGTAATTTGTCTTTAAATCAATTTTGTTGTCAAAGTGTAAATTATTTATTATTTATTAATTTGGGAAATTATATTGACAACCACTTTTTTGAATTTGACTGTATTTAGTGTGTTTTATTTAATTCATTAGAAAAAAATTGAGCTCAGTGACATCGATGATCTTTTTATGCATATTTAAACACTAAGGCAAATGGTCAGCACTGCTATAATTTCTACTGTACATATTTCCAAGTATATCTTATCGACTGGTTCTGGTTAATTGCCTCGACCACGTTACGATGCTGTCATAATCTGTTTTTGTGGTAAAGCAAACAGTTGCCTTCAGCATTAGCCGTATAATTATTTTGATTTTTATTACCAAATTGCAAGAATAAAACAATTCTTTGTAATAAGTCATGTGACAGACTTACGTGTGACGATAGCAAAAGTTTTATATAACCACGACAGACTTGTTTAAGATTGATAAGTTATTTCTGAAATGTTATCTATAAATATTTTGCAATACAGTGCTTACATATTGCACTACTTTCAAATGTCAAGCGTGCTGCTGGGGTAAGACCTGTATCTATTTATGAACATGCATTATAGACAAAGGAATAATATTTTGAAGTAATTGTAATCTTTTAAAACCCTATATATTGTTGATTTTAAGGTTATGATACTATCCGATATTTGAGGCGGATTTCATTATCTTTGTTTAGTAAAGCGTTGCGAAATTAATAATTATCATATTGGTTATTGTTCAAATCAGTAGCCGTGTTATGCGCTACCTAGGTATGTTGTATTTGACTTGAAAAAAATATCTAAAAGGCTTGTCATAGGTTTGAATTGTAGTTCTACTGCATTTTATCATTATTTGTCAGTACTAACCTTGATCTGAATTAATCTAATAATAGAACCGCGCCAACAATCAGAGAAAGCTCATAATTAATAATGTCCTTTACTATTGATACTGTTGGAATTGAATTAGCCGTCACTGCATGAATATTGATTCAATGGTTTTACCTATCGCAATGCTTATTTTAATTACGCTACAGCTACGTTATAAAAATGTTGACTTACACAATCATCGTGACTTACTCAAATAACAACACAAATGTTTGATTTTAATTATTCTGAAATTCACATTGTTTCATTGTAAAGCGAATTCAATTAAATTAGTTTTAAAATCTAGAACCAATTACATTTGATCGGAAATTAATCCAACATGATTTAGTTTTTTTCTACACAGTTTATCAACTTGACATTTTACATTTAAACTAGATAATTTATAACTTGATTTATATGGTAATACAGCTTCCGAGTGTTAAAAACTTTGCACATCATTAGAGTTTGTTTAGCAATAATGAATGATAACTTCCACAATTAGGCTAGGGTAACCTTTAACGATTGTTGAATGATTAATTTAATATGTTTACACAATAACTTTTCAAATATGATGCGGTTAAGAGAATAAATTTTTGATTTCCAAAAGTGTTTTATTTCGTCTTGGATAGGATGTTCGTTTTAAGTAGACGTTCCAGCAATTACCTTACTAAATTAACATCATGTATTCGAATCTTGTTGATTTTGTTTCTGGGAATTTTTATAATCTTCACGCACTTTAACAATTTGTAGTTGTCTCTTTGTGGTAATTTATCATTTTCCTGGATCTATTCTTAAGAATTGAGATATCAAATGAGACATTTATTTAACCACATTGGGTTAGTCACATAAATTAAAGACACGCAACTTTTATAAAAAAAATCGTCATAACTTCATCAAGTAATTTGAATTAAGACGGCTGCATTAGAAGCAAGCTTTAGCTATTACAATTTCACAGTAATTGGAATGATCTTGTTCAATTTTATGGTTATTTGGCATTGTTCTCTCCAATTAACTTTCATGCAACATTTATATTTAACTGCAGACACTTTTCAGTTATCGCACTTTAATCATTGTTCAGTAATAATTTTGATTAGTTTTTTGAACAGATTTCGAAGGCTTCAGTTTATAATAATCCATAATAATAATAATCAAGTTTGGCATTTCTACTTGATAATGCAAATATGTTCAACAAAATAGGTAGAATTTTTTCATTTCTATTGGGTATATTTTTATAATTACATTATTAAGTTGTTAATTCGTAGGTACATGCCAGACTTCACGCTTGATGAGTGGCACCCGTAGCTTGTATGACAAGAATGTTTGATAATAGTTATAATAACGCGATCTCTTCCGTCACTCCATTTGTTTGACGTTGAAAAGCTTGAGTTCACCAAAATTTCAACGCTGGCCTCTTGAGTAATTTAGTAAACTAGACTATAGCTATATACGAAATATATGTTCTAGACTGTTGGAGATTTCTACAAGAAGGTAGTATAAGTGACGTGATCTGAGATCAAGTACAGCGTGGGCTCGCGACATCCGCCCGGCAAGATTGCTGATAATCTGGACAGCGACCTCTTAGAGTCAACTCTTCAACTTAATCATCAAAACATTCAACAAATGCGTTTCTGACACTTTCTTATACAACAGACGTTGAGCTTTCGGTCTTTAATAGCATTTCAAAAACGGAATAGATCCCAACCATAGAATTGAGTCTTATTGAGGAAGAGATTGAGTTGCGTTATTAATTTCTTTGATTTGTATCTTGGTTCTTAACTTGCTCAATATTTTTTAATATTTCACAACTCTCACACTAATCATTTTTACATATGCTTTCACATTTCGAATAGTGTTTTTGGTGTACATTCAAACACACTCAATGCACTTTCAAAAAATTAAAAATATACTAGAACAAAGCGTTAACGAGTGTTTCCATTTGGTGTTGTGTAATTTTTGTGAAGGGGTTTGCGCAGTCGTTCCCCTTTATGGATACTCTTGATGTTGGTTTAGCGAATTCGAATAGAAGCGCGATTTGTTTACGACGCCGTTCTTGTGGCTATTTATTTGCTCGGCCTGAAATTAGTGGCACTTTGTTGTCAGTCCGGTGTCGTAAGATGTGCAAGTTATTCCAGTGGAATTCACTTTACAGAGGCGGTTATTCGCTGTGCAGATTTAAATTTGCTTAATAGCTCTAGTTTATAATCGCTCGGCTCCAACTTTGTGCGACTTCTTTATTCATCGTTTACAGAGAAATAATTGAAGTTTGTCCAATAATAACTTTTAATCTGATAATGAAAGTCTCTTCTAATATTTCTACGTGAAATACTAGACATTTACGACCTTTTGTTTTTGGTTTGCATGCAATTAAAAAGGCAAACTTTTGAAAGAGGTAATTTGTTTTAATGGAGCATTGAGACGTTACTTTTCTCCATTTGTAGCAACAGAAAATGAAGGGAACTAAATGTCTTTCTGATTGTTAACAATATAATTAAATTGATGTAGTCTAATGGTTTTCAATGTTATGCCCTGAGTTCGATAAATTTATAATTCTGACAGAATTCTGAGAAATTAATAAAAAGAGTTGAAGTCGTCGATTGAGTCTTTTGCGTTCTTTAATAGCAATCAAGCAAGACGTCTTTACTTATGAACATTATTGAACACAGATTTGGTTTCATTTTGGCTAAACTTAGATCTTTATTTACTTATTATCATAATTGTGAAATGATTAATTATAATGTTTGGACACTTTTTGTTACTAATTCGTTCATAGAAGTATTCTTTTACGAATAAATTATACAACTTATGGGAGGTGAAGGGTCAGCGACATCAAATTTTATGTTTAAGTTTATTACCTTCGGTACTTTTTATTTTTACTTTTCATTTTATCATAAATGAGTAAAACATAGAGTTGAGAATAATAATTGCTAACGATTTGTTAAGTTTTGGTAGTAATGAAACGATTATATTATATTATTCAATTGATGGATTTATGAACTATGAGCAGCAATGCAAACTAAATTTGTGTGCGAGTTTATGTGTAAAGAGAAATTTTTCAAAAGTGTGATAAATAATTTCCCTCATTCACCTGCTATTTAGTGTTACCAATTTGAGTAACAAGCAAAAGAGATGTATAACAATGGAGTGCGGTCCTGAATCTGTTTCATCGGTTGCTCACGTCTCTTACGACTTCTTAAACAATATAATCTTCTTGTCTGTCGTTCAGAACTGCCGAAAGCGTCTGGAGCCTATGTTTATGTATTTGTATGTTTGAGTGTATGATAATTTCGAGTGTCTGGGTTATATTTATGCATTGTTCCGCGGCGTACGTGCCTATTTTTATTTATTTGTCGAATTTACAACATCTGTTACATGACCAAATCGGCGTAATAATTTTCAGCGCTCGACAGGTTTTCTTCTCAATTATTGACCTCCGAGACGATTCTTATTCTTGATCTTGGCACAAAAACATTTGCGCATTTTCAAACAAGATTTTTTTTCTTGATAAAGTTTGAATTATTCACATTTTTTCAACATTTCATTAATAAGTGGGTTTTGTGTGGAAGATGTAAAGTGGGATAAAATACTATTCTGTTAGTGCTGTACATTATTGCATTAATTAGGCGTTTTTCACTGCCGGGTATAGACTTTAATAGACATAATCTGAATACTTTCATCTGCGATGCGAAACGGTTCATTATCATCGGGTCTATAGCATTCATTAATTTAATTACGATCACAGAATTATTTAACAAAATTCGTGTTAGTCTTGTTGTATTATGTAGTACCACATACCTACTTAATTAAAGTGCAGTAAACTCTACATCAGAGTTGGAATTTACATTACATAAAGTAAAATACCAAAAACACAGCAGTCTTTGTCTAAAATAAATGTACGGTCTATATTTCAGCTTTACTGACCCATATTTGAGCGAATTATACTCGTAACTGTTTATTTCACCTGGTTATAGTTTATAGTTGAACATCAAGTACACTGCAACAACATGTTTTGTGCATGCTTAGAAATTGCATGACCTCGGTATCACTCGAATTCCAACATCACGCATAAATCAATCCGTCGTCATTTATCATATCATGGTAGACCCCTGTTGGGGCGTTAGTCTGCATATAAAAATCTTTTGATTCATAGAAGTTTAGAATTATTTCCGGCATATTGTCCTTTGACCCGGAAAGTCTTGCAACAGAGCGCTCTGATCTTTTCATTTTTCCTTTTTTTACGTTCCATTTTAAGCTCGCCTTGAATGTTGTTTAGTAAAATAAAACAAATTTTTTATTGAGCGTTTAATTCGACCATTGTTCTGGAAATTTTTCTAGTTATTTGTTATTCATGTGTTAAATTGTTAGCGTTTTCAACGGTCACAAGCCAAGATAAACTTCTTTCGCGTGCATAATGTCTGCATTGTATGGAGCCTCTAATATCTCTGGAAGGAATTTTAGTTAAAGTGGGGTGGATGGACAATTACTGCTATTTGCGACCTACATGTTTAAGTAGATGTCTATAGAATGATACTAAGAGTCCGTTGTTTCATTGCCATTTGCGGGTCACCTGGGCCATATATTGTTACACAAACATTAAAATGTATCATTTTACAATCAAAACTGAGTCCTCGCCTGTGTGAATACGTAATCTAGGCATTGATTATACGCACGACTGAACGCGCTTTTCTTTTATATTTCTCTCTTTTTCCTTCTCTTTGATCCGTTTCATATAAACGACTTCTTAGATTAATACCTTCTTACATAGGTCGAAGGGGACTCCAACAGGTGCCGACAAAATACCGCCATTTAATCTACCCTTGTATCGTTATTGTCATTTGTACCGATGTATTGATTCTTTACTTTGCTCTAGAGAAAGCAACAATTGTGGGTACCACAAAAATCGCTGATTTTGGGGTGGTTTTTAGTTTTAGAGAAAGTCTTCTAAGACTGACCTTTACGGAATGTCATCAGCTTCTTATATAAATGCCATTCTCGTGTTCGTGATGGTTTCAATATAAACGAGAATGTGAGAGGTAAATAGATTTAACTTTGAGAAAGGCTTTAAATTTGGAAATTTGCTATAAAAGAAAAAAAAAACTGTAATTCCGTCAGTAATTTTCTGATGATTTTCACTTTTTTACCTTTCTTGATCTTCGTATAGTAACAAGATAAAAACCCGACAGCTTGTAATATCAAATGATTGTGCGATGTTCACATGTAACTAGTAATATAGAAATTGCAACAATGATTCTTTCTGACACGACTTGTATTATCTACAAACAAATGATTTATATGTCGTAATGTTTTAATTTTAGTGTAGAAATCAACAATATTCTGGCTGATGATCAATCACTAATTAATGTTTCACCTATGGCAAAAGTGTTGTTTGAATTTACAGCCTATTAAACAAAATGGAAATAATTTGGTTTGACGTTTGTATGTCTTTTGTGCACAGTGAACGTTGCTTTTGCGACAGGTTTGATCCATTACAAAGATTAGAAGCAAATATCACGATGCTAGGAACACTTTCTCTCTTCAGACAATCGGAGATCGTGTTCTAACGTGTACACCATTTGTCGAAAAGTGCATTCTAGCTAGTTGTCCACAGCTGGTGAACGTCAACTGAAACGGTTATAAATTATAACACGAAAGGTCGTTTTCCCGAAGTAATTTATATTGCGTTCTGCACTGTTATTACCGTAAACACTTAATGATCGATAGCAGTTCTCATAAGTTTCGATTAAATGTAGACGTAGGTATTAGTTTTCATGTTGTATATTGCAGCCTCAGAGGTAACTGTTTTTTTTTTCTGTTCTATCAGGTTTAAAACAGTAAGATCTGCAGCGAACTCTAATCTATGACTTTAACAAAAACTTATTGTTTAGAAAATCTGTGTTTAGATATATTATATTTTGGTCTAAGCTTTAAATATAAAATTCTTTAGTGTTTTTGTGAATTTAACCTTATAGCAGTTAGTATACGGATGTGTTGAGAGCACTGGGCGGGCGAGCTCGTGATCGCTCACGTATAATTATCAGAGAAACTTAAAACAAACAAGTGCCTGGTTGACTTGCTGACCCTCCTCAGAGCCACCAAATATCGGTCCAATGAAGTAACGACGTAGGGGTCAATCGGGTTTGCAACCAATAATTTGAGACGATTTCGTGATTTTGTAAACGATGGTTGACGGTCTGATCGGGGTTGGTCTAATTTATGTTAAACATACAGTGAGTTTTTTTTATTATTGAACATGTAATGTATGTTATGTTCAATTAAAAAAAAATCATGTCAATCCATTGCGGGGTGCCTGCAACGTGTATAGTTTGTTAATTTGACTCTTGAGGCTGAGAGGTTGCCCAGAGATGATACCGAAAGTACCACCACTCATACAGTAGTATACAGCATAACTGCTAGTAAGATTGCTACAGAATGAATAGAAGTTCGTGTGCCGCTCGACAGCCCATTACAAAGCATAGCATAAAGGGTGTGTTAAGCAGCTGTAAACAAAAATCCAGCTTATTATAAGAGCTTCTAAGTACAAACACAACATAATTCTAACACTCTTTAAACTTGCAGTTCTCTCAACTTCTGTATTAGTGGTGGTACTTTCGGGTACCACTCTTGGGCAACCCCTCAGCCTCAGAAGTCAATTTAACGGACTATAGGTGCCTGGTTGTATTTTAAAAGAAATGAGAAAATAACTATATTTAAATGAAAACGAATACAAACGATACAAAGTGGTTATAAATGATTTTCATCTAGCCAGCTGTGAATTTTCCATGTAAAATAAAAAATGCCGTAGGGGTACCTAACTCAAAATTAAAAAATCGCCGTTTACTAAGCGTTCACTTCGAAAATAGACTTCAATTATAAACTTGTTTTCTTCCAAAGTATACATTATTATCAATTATTATTGGAAATTAGTTGAAACAATAGATGTTTAATTAACAAAAAGTTATTATTAATTAATAAGTGACACTAATGACAGGACTAGAGCTTTCAATAAAAGTAGAGCGGCACAAATAAAGTTACATGTAAAAAAAATCCAAAGCTGGCTAGATGAAAATCATTTATAACCACTCTGTAAAAACATCACAGGCAGGTAGAGCGTATCTTGTTTAACAGTACCTACGAAATAAAATTATGGCAATCTTTTTTTAGAAAACAAGGACAAGAAAATTA